TCAAAATCATTTTGAAGCAGCAAAAAATAAAAATTATCAAAATTACACAGCTATAAAAACAATACTAGTCTATGTACTAAGCTACAAAATACTATGCACTAAACTACTAAAAGCATGTAACTGTATACTTATACTAAATACTATGCACTAAGTTATTAAAGCATGCAGCTAGAGACTTAAACATCATTCATGCCTCTGCAAGATTCAACTTTGCTGTCTCAGCTAATGAGTTGCCTTCACTACATCTAGTAGATGGATCAGCTATCCGTTCTGACACTACTTCATATTCTGCAGCATTGCCAATCATCAAAGGAGTAATACCTTCGCCGTTTTGAATATTAGGATCAACTTTTTCCCTCGGCAACAGTTCAACCACTTGAGTGTGGCCATTTTGACAAGCCAAAATAAAAGCATTCATTCCATCTTCTCGTTGACATTTATAATCAACTCCTTTACTAATCAATAGTTCAACAACTTCATAGTTACCATGGTAACTGGCAATCATTACAGCATTTGATCCATCCGATGTCTTCAGGTGAGGATTAGCATTAGCTTGTAGTAACATGTGAATGATTGAAATGTGATTACATTTACTTGCTATCATTAGTGCAGTCCATCCTTCATTGTCCTGAATGTTAACATCAGCTCCAGCAGACAGTAAACTGTGTACAATGTCCTCATGTCCTCTTTCACAAGCTAACATTAGTGCTGTCCTGCCTTCTTCATTAGTATGATCAATATTAACAGTTTCTAGTTGAAGAAGAAATTCTACTGCTTCATTATTACCAGCTGTGACTGCCTCAAGGAGAGCTCGTTCAAAGGTGAAATTCATATCTTCATCTTTTTGAAGGACATTATGAGCAGTAATGCATAAACTAAATATACCAACAAGAGGCATGAACTGTAACTTTCCTCTAGTATATTCTATTAGACTCTCAGCTATATAGTCAGGAATATGCATTGTGATGATAACAGATCCTTCCTCTACTGTAGTATATTTCATTATCGATGGCTGGTGTCCAGCTGGAAATAAGTTGTGGATCAGTTGAAAGAGTCGATTGATGGAGATACTGCGCCATTCACTGACAACGTGCAGAACCATCACAGACATATTTAATGTAGATTTGCATGTTTCTATAAATCCTTCATATTTTGATGCTTCAATAAGATGCTTCACTTGGGCTGAAGACTTAAGTTTATCAGCTTTTTTTTGATAATCTTTTAATTCGCTGACAATATTTAACTCACTATCACCAATTTTGAAATCTTGTAAAAACTTTTCGCTTATGTCCACTATCAGATTGCAATCGATATAATCATAAAATGGATCAATAGCTTTAAAAATTTCGTCTAATGATGCGTTTGTTAGTTTATCATTCCAATGCATGTAAGTCTCCAACCATATTATAAGATTTTTTAACTGCTTGGGATCCTTGCTAATTTTGATCTGAAGACCTGACCGTACATGCATCATTAAAAAATTAAATTCTTTCTTGAGGTCAATTAGTGCAAGAACCACCTCCTCTTCAGCTTCTGTTGTATGAAGCTTTGCTTCTGCCTGTGGTGATAGTTTGGTAGCAACAGCATAATAGCTGCTAGCTGACATTGGTGCACTTTTTTCTAAAGTCATCCAAACATCTTGGTGTAAGCTTTTTTTCTTTTGTTTTGTTTAAAGCATTAATCACGTCAGCCCATGTTGCTTTAGGTGCTACGCTCAGCCATTTTGAGTACAATGATGACTTTTGTTCATCAATTGTTGCACTTTCTTCTTCAATCTTTGAAATGTCAGAGTAAGTAATTCCTGGTAAACAATGACCAAATGGCTTCCAGTCAACAAGTGGTTCAAGCGTTTGAGTTAATAATGAAATATCCGGTAGATCATCAATCATAGGACCAGGATTGGGTTCAACAATATCAGATCTATCATC